CTTGTATTGGGGGAAAAACAGTATAAAAAATGTCAATATTTTATCAGAACAACTTTTTGTTTGATGCTTAAACAAAAGGTGGCTGACAAGTTTAACAACTATATACTATTATATTATTTTCCATAAAAAACTTTGACAAAATTTCAACAACAACAAAAAAAAAATTATAAAAAGTTTAAAAAGAAAAATTAAGATACAAATGTTCCTTCTATTTTATTATTTTGACTCAATGTCAAAAGCAGATATTAGAGAAATGGCAGTAAATGTTGAATTGGATTGTTTTTTTTTATTTTTTGTTTTTGCATTTTTTGCCTTATTAAAAATAGCTGAATAACATATAGCATCAAGTATAAAATAGCAGCTGACATGAGATGACATCAAAGCAGAAGTGTGTTAGAAAATCCACTCATGCAGAAAAACTGTACCCATTGGCAATCATTGACATTTGCTGAATGGATACTAAACAGTGAATGTGAGCACATCGCTGCTGTGAATAAGGGATTTGCCTTTGCTGCTTACAGATTTTTACAAGTGCTGAATGCCAGCTCTTATTCAGACATAGTGAAAGTGCATAGCCAATGATATTGACCCTATGGAAAATGACTGTTTTGTAGCTGAAAACTTGCTTTCTCTAATAGTATTATTGTGTTTTTTGTATTTATTGTAGCTTCTATGGAAATAAATAGGAGGCATTACTTTTGGAGAATCCCTTGTACATAATCAGTAAGCTCCATGGAGCCATGGAGAGATCAAATAAAGAGAATGTAGAGAGCCATTTGAAAGGAAAAATAGGAGGAAATCTCTACACATATTTTTTTTTATTGCTAAAGAGAAGAGAAGCAATGACTGAGCTTTTAATTTAGTGACAGTTGGAGTCTCACCAACAATTAATTCCTTATTTCTTGAATGTATTCAAGTAATTTTTTAAAATTAGAGTCTACTGTATTTTAATAAAAGAAGTTAGACTTTATCTTCTTTTATAATTAAAAGTAAATAAAAAGATAATTTTAAATATTTAAAAGAATTAAAATTGAGAAAGGGAATTTTTCATGGCACCTTATTCTTTGTTCAACATTTACTGATGTCTCATATTTGTTATGTATTTAGAGATCCTTGATAAAACAAAAAGAAAAATATGCAATGTTATTGGTCCTGACATGACATCTCTGCTTCAGTCACTTTTCCACCATACTAACATAGCTTCCCTGTGCCTTTTCTATAAATACTTTCATGGTAATTGTTCTGATGAACTTTTCTCTATGGTACTTAGACTTTATGAATTTAAATGCAATACTAGATTTGCAATAAGATCTGATCATTTTACAGTTGAAATGGCTAGATGTAACAGTAAGTTCTATCCTAACTGTTTCTTCTCTCATACTTCTCACTTGTGGAATTCTCATCTGGCTTCTTGCTTTCTGGTTAACTTTAATCTTCTCAGTATCAACATAACATCACTTCCAGTATCCACCTGCTTAAGTTACTCCATTCAACTTCACCATTTCCATATTTTTATCCTGTGCTTTTATCTCAAATATTTCCTATCAAAGGATCTATATTTTTCACTTTTTTTCACTCATTTTCCATATGTGCATACCATCTAGAAAAGATTCCTCTTTTTATACTTAAAACACCATTTCCCAAAGACCAGACACTTATTTTTGCTGTTACATGTTACTTATTATTTTTCATGTTCCTTATATCTGTATACAAGTAAACTTTTAGTAGCACCATAAGTCTTCATACTGCCATCAGAGGCATTAAATTTTTGAATCAATTCCAATTGTTGTAAGAACACTGCACATGCTTCCAGATTCATATTATGAGCTTGAAGCTGCTCTAGAATTTAAGCTTGTATGAGATGTCAAACATTCCTTCAATGAGTCTTAGCAAAATTAGATTGCCTTCAATAGGCATTTGTTCTGAACCCAATCTTTCAAACTCCCAATATCTTGACACTTCTTTCAATTACTGCATATATTGCATAATAGTTTCATCTGATCTCTGTCTATTCTCAAGAAATTTAGTTCTTTCTGCTATGACCAATCTTTTTTTTGGTTGTATATTTGCGTTTATGATGACAGCAATTTTTTCATAGGATAAATCTTCCAACACTTTGGAATAGACCATGATGTAGATTTTTTTATGGCCTCACACCCTGCTAAAGCCAAAAACAACTCTATATCAACATTTTCTCCTCCACTAGTTTTTTCACTCTCAACAACACTGTGAAACACCTAAGCCAGGTTTCAATATATTCAGGTAAGTTCTATGCTAACAGTTTCTTCTCTCATATTTTTTACTTGTGGAACTCTTCTGGCTTCTTGCTTTCTGGTCAACTTTAACCTTCAAAAATTAAATGCAATGTTAATTGGTATCTTGCCTTCTTCATTTTTGTTCTTTTATAGTTCTCTTAGAAATTTTTTTCTTATATTCTCTCACACTCAGTAACCTTTGTATCTTAGTGGCTTTAATGCCTTGCTTGGGGTGAAATGATTCTAAAATAATTATCCTTTATAATTATACAGAGTTAATTGTAGTAAAAGCTAGAAGAAAAAATGGAAGGGTGGATAAAAAGATAAGAAAAGAAATGAAGAAGTACAACACAGGCTTTACTTGGAAAATGGGGATTTATTTACACACACATATGCACAAATAAAGTAAATGTATAGTACTTTAAAAAATGTAGAAGGATCTTTCAAAAATTTGAGATGAACTTAATTTATTTAAAAAAAAAAAATAAATAAATAAAAGCAAACAATAAAGAAGATTTGAGGTCTATTGCAGCAATTTCAAAACCAGCCTTAAAAGCATGCAATTATTTACATTTGTAGACTAGGGAAAGGTAAATACCCTAAAAATTCTCCTTCAAACATACAAAAAAATACAAATGAATAGAATAGTGAATTGAGAGAAAATATTTGGTTTCATATCTGGGAAAAATGAGAACAGCTCATCTCCTCTAAGCTAGAGTTAATTGCAAAAAATCAAAATAGATTGCATAAAATAAATAAATAAATAGAAAGAAAAACTACTAGACTACCTTGTGGCTGAGATAGCTATACACTTCCTTCTGACACCAGAAGTCAGTGGTCAAGTTTGAAATAAAAACACCAATATTATTTCCATCCTTGGCTAAAGAAAAAAAAACAACTAATAATTTAGTTTATTTACAATTTTACATTTTACCAGTAACTAAAATGCATTTTCTCCAAGTGTGTGTGTGTGGGGGGTATACTTTTCCCTACAGTGAACACACTTGGTAAAAAAAAAAAATACAATGATGACGTGGTCAGTGATAACAAATCCCGATTGGTCAGAATTCCTATAGGATTTAATAAAAAAATAAAAATAAAAAAACATTTCATTTGTGTAGGCACAAAAAAAAATATTGTTAAAAAAATTCTTGCACTAATGCGGTAGTTATACCAGGATGCTAGTCGAGAAATAATCGCACTCAGGAGAGAAAATCTGATGTCATGGTGGCCCAAGACTTTCTATGACCCCAGAATAGAATAGACATCACTGGGGTGCGCAATATATGCCGTAAAACGAACTTTTGGTTCTTTTCTAAAGACGGTTGTTACCAAAAAACAAAGGAGGAAAATTAAGAAGAGCCATTTTATTATTTGGTACTAAAAAGTACAGGTGAAATTTTAATGAAAGATTAAAAAAAAAAAAAAAAAAAACAAACATATATAACTTGTGGCCTTCTGCCTGGCTAAGCAAATCTTAGCAAATTTAAATTTAACATTAATCGACTAATCTTTTTTAAAACTACACCATTCATGTCAATGAGATGTTTGACCGACAATATTCTGAATCTTTTTCAGAATAGTAATTAAACAAGTGCAAGTCTCTTTATTCGACTCTAATTGACCTTGAGTTTTTGTTTTTTAATCGATTTCACTTGATCTTCATACTGGGCAATGCCGGGTCACCTTGCAATTTTTTTCTTTATGATCAAATTCAACAAAACATCTAGATTCAGGTATTTTTCAAGTCACTCTTACTTAGGATTAACAAGAAAAAAGGATTTTTTTTAATTTTCGAATATTATGGAATATGGATAGATGTGCAATTTTATTTTATTTTAAAAAAATATTTGTGACACCCACCCAAACAGTTTTGATCTCGGATAAATTGTATATTTGAACTGGTGTATGAAAAAATATTTTAAAACTTTCCTAAACTATAAGACAAACATGCAAATTATAAATGTTTTTGTCGTTTGTGTACTTGTAAAATTTGGCAGCTTTAAAATAACTGCGTGTAAAAAGAAAACATTTCTAGAGCCCATTTTTTTCTTTTTAAATTTTAATACAAAGTAAAAAAAAAATCAGTTTTTAATAAAATAATTAAAGATGTTTAATTAAAAAGACACTCGGAAGTTTTGCACAAATTAGATAAAAAAAAAATATAACAATAAGCTTCGAGTTCCAGACACGAAAGATTAGAATTTTTCATTCATTGAGTCGGGAAGGATAATTTGATTTTTGAAGAGACGGAAAGAATTTCTTTTTAAATCAAGAGAAAGAAAAACAATCATGAATTAAATATTGTTTTAATTTTTATAACATGGAAAAAATACAACAAATAAAGAAAAAAAATGAATATTTTTCTTTTTTTTTTTATTAGTTAGAAACAAAAAAATACCATTGTGACACAAACAAGTTTTTATTTTTTTTTAAATTTTCAGAAATCTATTTCAATGTCCACAAACCAATTTTTTAATTTTTCCTGTATGGTGGCATTTCTTTAAATATTATGATCAGTAGATATATGCCGTGCCGTAACACGAAGGAATCCGAACTTTTATTGACGATATAACTTCTAAAAACGGTAGATTTTATCAAAATTTCTTTGTTATTTTCGAATTAAGCATGTATATTTTTAAACTTATAACTATTCGTGAAATTTTTATTTGATAATTAGCGCGGGGCTTAAAAAGCAAATTACCCGGATATATAAATGAATTGAAAATGTTCAAACTTACTTACCTGGACTTCCAGCAACACTGTCATAATGGCAATTGACCAACACGCTATTTTCAGTGGCATCTTCAAATTTGGACACAGGATCAAGTTTGGCCACTAAATTCTTCAGATTTCTATAGACGGAAAGAAAATCACTTTTAAGTTTCATAGAAAACTGACCACTGACGTTGTGTTCGTCCACTTGTAAAATGTGGGCAGTAGACACGGTGTTTTTTTGAATCTTGTACAATTCTCCAAGAATATAATCTTTAGCGAGTTTCTCGTTGGCATAACTGCCCACCGTCCTCTGTCCAAAGCTGACCAGGGCATCAAGATGTTTACGGGCAGTTTCTTCTTCAAAGACATCGTTAAAGACTCCTGGGCCGTCCGGAGTTGTCTTTTTGACAGGTGGGAACCATGCTCGTTTGTTAACAATAAAAAGAAAAAGGACCAAATGATAAACAAATAGAACTGACCAAGCTATAGACCCAGGAATTTTTTTTTCGGTAATAGTTCGTGACGATAACGAAGACAGTGGAGAGGACGAGGAAACCCTGTCTTTATTTGACTGGGAAGCGTTGAGAGACATAAAGCCATTGTTATCGTCGGCGAATTGACGACGTTGGCGAACATCCATCATCTTCTTCTTCTTCTTCCTCCACCTCCCCCCCCAAAAAAACCCTTTTTTTTTCTTTTGGTAAATGGTCCAATTCTCCCGAAGTGACAGTAGTTTTTGAAGGGGGGAGTCTTTTTCCTGCTTGTTTCTTTTGTTTTGTCCGATGATGCTGATAGATCACTGGACGATCTTTTCTTCCTTCTCTTTTGTTTTGTTATTATTGTCTGACTGGGTGGGGTGGGATTTTTTGAGCTCACCGTAGCCCTACCCCACCAACAACTCTAGTCTAGTAGTATGCCGACGGTCAGTTGTATTTTTCTGTAAAGGAGATCGGTGTGTAGACACTAGACAGGCTTTCTTTCTTTAACTACTACTACTACTACTTGATTACCTACCTGCCCATGTGACTATCTTTGATAAAAACGCTCGTTACTCGAGCTACTCCTCTTCATTTATAGTTTTTTCTTTAACATCGAATTTCCTTTGGCGATGGTGATGATGTCATGATCTATTATAAGGTTTGACGATAGTGATGCTTCGTCTGTGTGTCTTTATACTGCCATTGATGTTGATGATGCTATTCAGATTTACTGTTGTTGAAAACCCTGTTATGATGATCGGCTGCTTACTTTTATTCTTGATGTTGCTGATGTTGGTTTTAACGGTGCCGCTTAAGATCTCGTTCAATGATTCGTGATTTATTTTTCAATTAACTCTTCTTTGCATTTTTGTTGCTAATTGAATGTTTCTGGCGAGAAATAAATCATAGAAAGGCTTTTTATCAGATAATTCGTGCTAAAATAGACTGGGGAAAATTGTTACGATTAAGATTGTTTATGACAATGATGATGAATAACGAGCTTTAAATGATGTAATACGTGATGATGATTCGAAAGGCGCCAAACGCTAGTTTGTGACAGTTTCTTAATGATGTAATTTTGTGATGCTACTTCTTATTATATTGTTGATAGTGATGATAACTTTGAAACAATATATGATTTAGTTTATGACGACAATTTATTATATTCTTAAGACGATAAACGTGTTTATAGTAGAAGCCATTGTCAAGTGTTAATGTAGTTTATGATTATGATGATCCTTTAATTTGATTTGATGTTGTCAATGATGATGGAGACGTCACTGCTACTGATGATTATCTCTACGAATATCTCGCGCGATTTTCCGAGATTTTGTTGAGAAGAAAGATGTCGGCACCCTTTTCTATTTGGACGTGTGTTGACTGATAGTTGTTTTTTTCCCTCTAACAAAACCCGTAAGCAGAGACAAAAATTGCTGCTGATTCATTGAAATCCATCCACTTGCAATCAGTTGACACAAACGAAACATTTTCGGCACCCATACCAATGTTGAAACGTGTTTTTCATTGTTTGAAGCAGAGACAAATAGGAAACTAATTCGAACCGTCTGTTTCTCCCTGGTTGGTTTTTATCGTTATTTCTTCATTTTTCTATTTTAAACACACTTTTTCCTTTTTCTTTCTTATATAAGTATTTTTACTGATTTATAAATAAATCTTGTTTCTCACCCTTCGTTTTCAAACATTCCACACTATTATTTCAATAAATTTTATTTTAATATGGCAATTTTTAAAATAATTTTTTGAGTTTTTTCTTTCTTTTTTTTTTTTTTTTTGCACTTTTAATTTTAGATTGAATTCAAACAAAATGGCAAAATATTTTTCTTAATTTTTTAATATATTTTGACTAAGTCTTACAGATTAATACTCTTTTGCGTGTGTGTTTCTGATAATAAAAATGATTAAGTTCCCTTCGTTTACGGGTCTTAATTATTTTATTAAAGATGGCAGCTTTTTGCTTGGGTAGATTTTTCCTTTTCTAATATGTATTTCTTTTATTAAATAGATTTTGACTTGAAAAGTAGCAGTATATGATCTTAAAAATCAATCTTATATCTAACGATTGAATCCCAAAGTTTCGATAGATCAAAATAGTGAAATTAAAAACAAAAGTATACATAGTTAGGAAAAAGACTTTTTTTTTTTTTTTTTTTTTTTTATATTCTTGATTTAAATATAATATCTTATCTCACATGTTATCCCCACTATGAAATCTAAAGTTCAATTCGGAAAAATGACAACGCTATTTATTTTTAAAACAAAAGAATCGCTTTCTTCTGTATCAAGAACTAAATTTGAATAAAAAAAGGTTTTAGTTTTCCTTTTTAAATGCAGTGTCATTTTGTTGTGACTATTTGAACGTCCGTTTGGTTCATTCTTCCAAATATAGCTTTATTTTACTCTTTCTTTAGTGTTGAAAAGTCTTAGGTTCCAAAAGTAGTCTTTTAAAATAAATTCCGTTTTTCAATCATGCAAGCTGATGTTCTTTTTTATCCACAAGAAATGATTGTTAATAATTGTTGTTGGGGTTATTTTAAACGGTTTTCCTCGATTTTAATGAATTGATTATGAAAGTAACATGAAACTGACAGTCAACACGTGATTCATTTTTTCTACCCTAGTCTAAACTTGGGAATGCATTACTAATCGCCCTTAAACAAACAAACAAAAATCTATCTCGCTAAAGACAGTTTTTTTATTTTTTTGTGAAAACTTCATTGGTGTCTAACTCTTGAATTCAAAAAACTGAATAATTGGTAACGTGTTTCAAAGGGCAAGATATTGCTGTTGTTTTTGTTTTGTTTTTTTTCTAATGAAAATTTGCAATTGTTAGAGGTGAACAGTAATTAATTGTATAAAAGTAAATTAGAAATGTCTTTTTTATTTTACTTTTTTTTTTCTTCTCCAAAATAGAAAAAGTAGGTGATTTTATGTCTGTCTTCTTGTTGTATGTAAAAAAAAAAAAAAAATCTTAAATATTTACTGATGCTTTTAGTTTTTAATGAACATAGAATTTTTCTATTCTTGAATATAGATTTATTTATTTTAAAAGGCATATGATCAGTATGAAAATACAGTTTGCAACAGAAATACCTTCCATGAAATATGGTAAGACAGTGGCAATGGTGTCGTCATCTAGCTAATAATGTATTTCTGCCACAACCTGTATAATCAACTCAAAGTGTGTGTGTGTGTGTGTATATATATATATACACACACACACACATCTATACACCATTATTTTCAAAACTACTTGAATACTCCTGGTTACAACACCTAAGGAAAACTGAGGATTGCACTCTTGAAACATGAAAGCAAAAAACAAATTTTTAAACTCTTAGTTATCCCCCAGAGTTTGAAATGTCATCTGAAAATACATTCTATATTTCATTACTTTCACTTAACAAATTTCTGGCAAGAATTATCTTTTTACAGAAAATATTATAAAGTGTATGGCTGGAGCGTACAACAGCCAAAACATTGTAATAAATATGGCGTCAAAGATTAGGACAATAGTCCAGATAAGTGTACATAATACCTCATCTCAGAAATATAGACAGATCCTGGTGAAAATATACTTTGTTGCTTTTGTATCTACTAAGTGAGGTTTGAATTATCAAAATATAGATGGCAAGTACCTTGGTAAAACTCAGCTGTAAAACTCTGTTCCTAGCTATATTTCCAAATTTTAAGCTGTCTTCATACAATTGTCTTGATTAAAATAGAAGTTTTAGTCAAGACAAGTGTATAAAGGCTGCTTAAAATTTTATGTGACCAATCTAATTTCTAAGATAAAAACTGATATTGTTGGCTATTGTTCAGTTTAATGTTGATATTAAGTTACTTGGTTTACATTTAACCTTTACAATGGCTTTAAAGAGAGATGCCAATGCTGATAATGATTATGAACACTGGTCTTAACCAATCCAACAAATAGTAGAACTGTTAAAATGACCTATGATTTTTTTTTTTTTTTTTTTTTTGTGAATTTAGTTATGACATTTAATCCAATCATCATAATCTACTACAAAACCAACCTTTGCAAATATTTAACTGTCTCATTAAAAGTGATAAAAAGTTTAGACTTACTTTCAAATAAGTAGATTTATAATTGGCAAATTCCTTGTTTAACAATAAATTGAATTTACAAAGGTTTTGTTTGTAGCTGCAAGATGTTCGGCTATACTAATATAACAATAGTTGCAGATTTTAGCTAATTGAGCTTCTGAATTTGTCATCACAACTTTTAATATTGCTGATTTTGAGATAATCAGCTTTATTAAAAATGGAATTTATTTGTGATTCATTCAAGCTGAAATGTAACTACATTTATATCCTATTTTTATCACAGATTATAAAATTAATGATTATTAAACATAATTTGTGACTTTTTGGAACTATGAATTATTTTTTCTATATTTTGTTTCATTATGATTACTTTATAATTGAAGTAAAAAAAGATCATGTTTAATACATTGAACAGAAAGATTATTGAAAAGAAATTTTTCTGTAAAATAAATGCATCATCATTAATTGGCTGCAGATTTGTTGATATTCCTACATATATACACAGCTTAACATCCTTGCTTCAAATTGATAAGATAATTTGTAAATATTCCAAGACTTGGTTTATAATTAATACTTTATATAAAATTTACTTAAATAGCCTCCATGAAAGGGCTAACAACATCTACTTGAATATACCTAGTGGACTTGACATAGTGAAAACTACAATTATCTGGGCATATGAATGTATTGTTCAAGTTCTAATGAAACTTAGCATCTTTTTCAAATAAGACAATATAGTTACAGTCTAATTTCTTACCCAGATGTTCAGCCAGTAATTTAAAAGGAGGAGTCTAAAATAGTCATTGATCATATTAGGCATGTACACACACTTCCTCTCATCCTGTCTGTATTCAGCCAACAACAAAAGCAGCATTTGATTGTATTAATTATTAACATTTTTCTTTCTTTTTTTTTTTTTTAAGGATCGTATGCACAAAACATCATCAGTATTCTTATATTTGATTTAAACAATTCAATATATTGATAAAAATTGCATTTCTTTATTAATTATGTAATAAGGTTATCAGAGCAACATTGAATCTCATCATTCCTTCATATAACTCTTTCTCTCTCATAT